GAGCATCGATCACTGGGGCCCCACGCACACCTTGGACAAAGATGGCTGTGGCCGGAGATAGCCGCCGACCGCAGGTTGGAACAAAGCACCGGGAATACCCGAAGAAAGAGAAGCCGGAGAGCTTAGGCGAGGCACTGGAGCGTATGCAGATCGGAGAAAGGAGGGACGGACGGATGAATAAAATGAATGGGGTGTGGGGGAGGACAGCTATGGAAGACCGGGGATTAAAAATGAAGACGGACGACCCTCGCGTTTCTTTTGTTTGTCCAAGTTAGTTACTTTGTATTAAAAAAAAAACAAAAAAAAAACACGAAGACTCCTACAAAAAAAAAACGGTATTCAAATTCTGCTCACCCTTCACACATAGGGAGATGAACATTATATATTTTAGTTGGAGTCACACTTTGATTTATCTAGGAAAAGAAGAAAAAAAAAACTTTCTTGTGAAGTGCACAGGAACTCTAACAGCCCTTCCAATTACGCAGACGAAAATCTTCTAAAAAAATCATTGTGGATATCTTCCAGTATGAGAGTTAAAGGGTCGATCATCAATATATCGCCAGCCACACAGAAATATTAAAAGAAAACGGCTGAACTCGGTCATTCGGGGCCGTCTCGTAGGATCGTTAAAGGGGCACTAAAGTCGATTTTAATCGTTTTTTTTTTTTTGTGTGGTGACAACTCACTTTAGACGCTATAAGCATCCCAATAAACCCCAAACCACAACCATGCGTAGCATATTTTCTCGTTAAAAGTGTGTTCAAAGATCGCGACACGCCCTTTTTGGGGAGAATTTCCTTCCCAATGAAATGGTTGACAAAGGGCGCTTGTCGGCGAGTTGCAAGCGATGGCTTCGCCCGCGGAGAAAAAGAGAAGCTTATCCGAAGGTGTACCTATCAGACTCTCTTCGAGACGAGTTATAATAAAAGCATTCGGAATCTGCGCGCATTGTAGGGCTTTCACTGGTCCACACAATGTAGTCCGCGAGAAAAAAGAATCCACATGTTTTTCTATTGCCCTGAGATGAATATGCGGTTTTGTAATATAGGAGTTGGTTTATGTGGGAACTAACAGGATTTTAAACAATATAAGATCAAAAACGACCTTTTTCAAAAATGACTTAGGTGCCCCTTTAAGCATCTATCAACGTACGCCGCCCACGGGGATTGCTCACCTATGCGTGTTTTCGAATATCTGTGTCATTGAAAATGCCTTGACCAAAACAAAAACAAACAAAAATATTCGTCTTGCAATTTCTAAAACACGAGAGTATTTTAAGCAAGTAACGGGCAAATCGGCAGTACTTCGTGAAACAAACACCGCAGGCATTTCAAACTCTTGCGCCGGGAAGAGATACGATGTTGACGCGGCACGAAAGGCGTAAACCATAGTGTAAGGCGCAAGAAACAATGGACTTAAGAAAGAAGACGCACACACACAGTTTCCTGTGTGTGTGTGTGTCTTCCTCCTTGTTTTCGTTGTTTTTTCCGCCTACCACCATGCCTCATAACGTTCACCAACTAGCCGAACTACAAGTTATTCTACAGAAAAGGCGGCGCGGCGTGCACAGTCTTGTACGCATTACTCCAAAAAGTAATCAATTAATATTACCTTTACGTTTTGATAAAAAGTATCCAATTATATCACTTAATTACTCGAAAAAAATATTTACAATTACTTGAAAAATAATCGTTACGTTTTCAATTACTTCAAATGTTCAAAACAACATTTTTTTCTGTCACTTTTGAAAACGGGCTTATTTGTACTGTCTATTATTTGATTATAATCACCGTATTACAAACTACTCCTCTTCTAAATCCAATGCTTTTGGTAGGCCGTCCTCTTATCGGAGACTTGGTTTGAGGATTCCCCGGTAGAAGGGTTGGGGAATTTAAGGGCGCCATTAGGAGGAGGAGTGAAAAATACTAATGGTTTCCAGTAATTTTATTTCTTTCAAAAAGATTCGATTACTCCTGCGATTACTACCTTATCAGGGTAATCAAATTATCGCTAAATTATTCTAAAAAGTAATCGAAGTAATTTTATTGCCCGCGATGGAGTATCGTACAAGTCTAGCGCTTGCTCAATGGGAAGGGCAGCATATTCAAAATGGCGGCGCCCTAAGCCATTTGCACCGCTGAGGAGCTGCGAGCAGTTATCCAATTTGTATGGTCGAAGGGAGTGAAACTATATGAAAATCACAGGAGGATGCTACAACAGTACGGAGATGCACGCATTAGCAGTAGAAGTGTGCACGAGCTAATATGGACGGGCGAACGTCCATCCGTGATCAGAATGCTCCGGCTGGAACGACCGGAGCGTTGCTGATCATGAATCCCGTTGCTGATCCGGTGTGTAAATACTTGTCGATAATTATCGGGAAGGCCGTACACCCGAAACGCTCCCCGTACGTCCCTATGTATAGGGGTATAGTTTTGCCAGTGCAGTACCACTGCTTCCCGAATGCGCTTGCTATTTTTATTGAGACTAGCAAGAAGAAGTCGGAATGGACACCACCCGCAAAATAACGAGATGCTAGCCGGTGTGTAGCCTGACACCAGCCGCTACTCGTTCTGCCCCCTACCGACTATAGTCGGTTACAAGTCAAGAAGGTAGGAGAAGCTCCTCCCACAAGTGTGATGCGCCCGTTTCAAATTTCTCCGCAGTCGAAAGAAGAGTTCGCTGGAAACGCTCCTTGTTCCGCTGCAATGGGTTCCCACTTGTCTCCGATCCCACTTTTTAAGAAAGCGACCTTTGTATTCATTCGAGAGGGAACCGAGCCCCTGAAAGCAGCCTTTGTATCCATCGGGGGGGAAGCTAATCCCCGAAAGTCGTATTTGTTTCCGTCGGTGGGGGAAAACTCTAATCTCCCTCTCGTGGCTTCCACAATGCTAAGTCGAAGTCGAAAGATAAAGCAAATATGTACAGAAAGGCAGGACCCTCCTCGTTGGCCGCGACGTCACGGAAACGATGGGATGCTATTGGATGCGGAGGTGGCGGAGGGATATAGGATTCCCTTTGAGGGGCATTTGCCGCTACCTTCTTAACCTGTAACCGACTATAGAGGTTCGCATAAAGCCTGTGCCACGACTCGTGAGATTGGACTCAAGATGTACGTATGAACCTGCCACGCGAGCTTTCGCCAAACGTACCTGCTGCCAAGCCGCATTCCGTTAACAGACTTGACCATGGAACTGTCCCGTATAACTTCACAAAAGAGCCGTCGTTTGTTCGTCGTTGCCCAGCCCTTTTTTCCCAACCGCGTGCTGATTGGATAAAGGAAATAAATAAAACAGCGCGAAAAGGACGCTCGAACAAGTGTAAGACGCACAAACACAGCGCTTAGAGCGCTGTCTCTCTCCCTTTTGTTTCTGAGTACTTTTTGCGCTGTTTTATACATACTCATCGTGCACCGACATGCCGAACTACACACATTACTAGAGTTCATTGGTTAAGACCGTAGAACTGTTATACCCTAGTCACACGGGTAAGCTTAAAAAAGACACTAAAATTTAAAAAAAAAATATATAACATTTTCAAAGGGCATAGATGAACACGCAATCTATGTTTTGTTTACTTTTTTCACAAAAAAAAATGCAAAAAAACAGTTTCGCGCAATATTTGCGTTGCTAGACGCAATTGAGGGAGAGACCACGGCCCGCTCTTTTATGCAAGCGGAACGCCCGATTGCCTTCAGCCCAATAACTCGCAAATTCTTACTGTAGGTATCTTCTTGGGCATTGAAACCATGCTTGCAACCAAGACTGGTGCACAATTCACAGAGCAGCGGGGTCGCTTTCACGGAAACTTGCATCTTTATCCAGCATCAGCACGCGAAAACGAAAAATTCAAGCCAAATCGAGCAACGTAGTTGACGTGGGACGCTATGCTTATGCCAGTCCCGCTACAAAAACAAGCACCGGCACAGCGGATCCGAAGACGCGGACTTGCGACAGTGGTTTGCTGCGAACTACTGCAAACTAGGCCGGTTCAGATCTTCCTCTAAACGCCTAGGTTAACGCAGAACGAGTCGCACTCATAAAAATAAACGAGCTAAACGAGCGTAGCTCGTTCAGCGCACCGCAAAGGTCGACAGCTATGTTTGTTATCGTTTGAAACCGAAGCGGAGAGGCAATCTCGGGATATTTTAGTTTCGTAAGCACCGGGCGGGCACTAGAGCAAGGCTAACCCCCCCCCCCCCCCCCCCCCCTAAATTGTGTCTAACGGCAAAAATATTGCTAAAACAAAACAAACATTTGTAAAAAGAAGTTTTTAAAAACATTATTACGCTTTAAAGATTTTTTTCAGTGTTTTTTTTAATTGCAGTGACACTTAGCCGCAGCTACCTCGCTATTATCTTGGGCAACTTTCTGTGGTGGTGCAGTCAAGGTTATATGCGCATGTGCGCTTGTGCAACTTGAGTGCCCATCAAAAATGCATGCAAGCGCACCCTTCACTTCTTCCGAAATAGCTGTCCTAGAGTACAGTGCGCTAACTGTGGTTCAGCGTAACTGACTTAACTTCGGTTAAGGGTGCCCCCTGTAACGGTGGGTATAACACGGCCCACTCGGACTTAAAGATCAGTTCACACAAGGGCGTTCGCTTACGATTTCTTACGTTACGTGAGGACTCGCCGAGACATCCGTGTTTTGTATGTCGCGTGCAGAGCTACCCCTTGAACCGGCCACCACGCTTGAATCGAAGCTCGGATGTCCCGGTTACTCGCTGCGTAAGCGGTCGTAAGGTAACGTAACGTAACGTGACGTGACGTGACGTAACGTAACGTAACGTCACGTAACGTAACATAGAAAAACGCCCCTGTGTGAACCGACCTTACCTCTCGGGTGCTCCGAGGAGCAGGGGCTGCAGCCCGTGGCCCCTCGCACGAAGCACGCGGCGTGTGTGTTGCTCTGTCTGTTGCCCAACAGGAACGAGACGGTGACGTAGGGGCGGGGAAGCTCTGTCCTCTGTGACCGCTGTCGTGGTGCCCGTGCACGCAGGGAGGCAGCAGCAGGCCACGGGAGACGTCGCCGCTCCCCGGAGGAATCAGACGCTGCGCTCAAGGGGTCCAGGTGAGGCCCGCTCTCCCCGAAAGCCACGCAAGGCCGTCGCGCTCCGTTGGGTTACGTCATCTACCGAGGGCCAGCGCGGTGGACAAACTGGATGTGCGAGGGCTGCGTCGCCAAACGGTCGAATTGAACTCGTGTTCAGACAGTAAGGACACAAGTTCCAGACGTGTACGTAGCGAGTTGCTAGTAGCGCGTTACTTGTACTTAATTATTTTTTTTTTGTAATGAAGTAACGACTTATAGTTGCTTTTTTGAGAGAACAAAAGAGTAACGCATTTTCGTCACTTTTTGACGGAGCAACATTAATGGTTTTTAGTTACTTCTGGAGGAAAACGTTACATAAGTACCCACCTTAGCTCTCACCCTTAGCTTGCACGACGTGAAAACGATAGATAGTCCGTAAAACGATGTTCACAAGATATGTCAGTATTGCCACAGTGACCCTGGTATGAACGCGTTAAAAAGGGAGGAATTAATCACGACGATAAATATTGGATGCGGCAATTCATGAAGACTACTTCATGTAAACGACACATTCCGAGTAACGAAAAAATTACTCGTTACTTTCAAGCTAATGTAACGCGTTCCTTTTGAATCGTAGTAACGACTAACGTGCTTAGTTACTGTCTGAGTCAGAAACGACTATCGGTATTTAGTCAGTGTCGCGTACATATCTGCGCAGAACTCGGGTCCCATTCGTGCTCCGCACTGGCCTTTGGTACAGGTGAAGTAGAAATTCCGGATCGACGGCTTTGCCATCTGGTATAGGTGCTGCTCCAAATCTACCGCACTTAAAGGGATACTGAACCGAAATTTCGAACTCACAAAACAAGGCTAGACAGATAGGCGGGACGATGCAAAACCCAAAAACATCACTCATACAGCGATATCTCTAACGGATCGCCATATTTTTAGAAAAGAAGCGCCCGACTGAACCCGGCCGACGAGGCCGACAAGGCAAGGGACGTCACGATTCTTATTCCCTCTCCTCCTCACTACGTCCCGTATCCAGCTGGTGAACCGAAGCGAGGAGGAAAGAAGCGAGGCCGCTCCCCCTCATTCTCAAATTCTCCCGGAGGACAGTGATGTCAGAGGCCTCGCTTGATCGCGCCCTTCTTTTCGAAAAGTGCGGCCATCCGTTTGAGATATCGATGTGCGAGCAATGTTTCGGAGTTCGTAGAGTCCCGTTCAACGCTTCTAGAGCCTTATTTTGCGAAATTCAAATTTCGGTTCAGTATCCCTTTAAGTCTCAACCTGCGATGGGCTTCAACCGAAGCTACGGGTCCCCATAGCCTGATTACAAGGTGCGTTAATACTAACTTGTGAACTGGCTCGGTGCACTAATGCGTCCAACCCGGTCTAGAATAATCCGAATCCGAACTTCCGAACGTGTCCGAGGTTGTTCACAGGCTTCGATTATCCTATAGGTGGGGTTGGATAGGAACGGTGGTTCGAAATACCACGTTACCTCTAACTAACTCGTGATAGAGCCTGGCGGGTAGTTTATGATAGAGTAAAACTGAGTCGAGGCACCTGCACTGAAACGTGCCAAGGTAATGGACGCACACGTGTCTTGGGTGTTCCTGAACTTTGAGTGGTTTAATAAATCCATACGGGGCCAATATCTAAGAAGAAAGCTAAACATTACTCACGTGCATTGCTCTACAAACTATCACCGAAAGTAGCTTTATGTTTTACGATTATATCGTCTGCTTTACAAATATCTTGAAAAGGAAATGGGAAACAAATTATAAACTTAGAAACACGGTCATTATTGAAACTCCGTTTATGAGGCTGCGCTGATAATCCCAGCTCTATACTTGGTATGAGCGTCTACGCTTTCGTTTGATATGCTGACCAAGACAAAACTCGCTAATATTTTTCAGGTCGCCATACTTAACAAAAATGTACGGATAGTTAAGAAAAACATCAACACAAGAAGCGATAAAATAACTGTTTTCGTGTTTGCTCGTGCAATGTAAACGTGTATGCAAACGAAAAAAAAAAAGGCAAATGTATTCATGCATTTACGTCATCGTGCTCTGTAAAGTGTACAATGCGCAGCATGACAGAGCTCGGGCTTTCTCGTTATACGTTATATTCCTTCATTCAGTCCAACGTTACAAAGTATAAGCTCACCCCATGGTGATCTGGGAAAGAGAGATGCCATTCATTTCAGTGTGACTGATGAAATTTTCAGTTAGCAAAAAATGCCAGCAATATAAACAAAACAAGAAAAGAAACACATTTTGTCCGTCCGTTTATATTTTCCTGGAACGTTTGGCGGTGACGCCCAAATTGAGGCGCGTTTTGAAGTGTCCTCAATGTCACTCAAATGAAACTCGGCCTGACGTCGCTTCTCGGGCTAACCCGGTGTCGTCACTTTTCGATCCACTTCCAAGTCGATCTTGCCTCCCATCCTACGAGCGTCCGTTTATTTTTCCTTCTTTCCCGCGCACTTGGGTGCCTGGTTAGTGGCAGGCTGGCGAAGAGGGGCCTCGGTGACCTCTTAGCGGTCCGCTGACACCCCTGGGGGCGGGGTGGGATGACTCCCGATGGTTGAGGGGTCAAGCGTGTCGTCCCTGAACACCGAGAGAGGACCCGATTGGAAGAGCGCTTCACTCTAACTGCACTTCGATCGGACGGCACTTTGCGGTCACTTCTCTCGCCCACTGTTTAGCTGTCGGAAAGTTTGCGGACACTTCCACAGGCCTGCCGTTCGAGCGCGGAGGAGTTCGTGTAAACCTATCTTCTTTTTCCCTTATTTTTTTTTTTTGTGTGTGTGTGTGTGTGTGTGTGTGTGTTTCTATGATGACACAGATATCTATTGTAAATTTAGAAATAATCTCTTAAACATGACTTTTTTTTTCCGATGATTGCGCAATCAATCTTTTGTGTCCTATTTATTTATTTTTTTTTTGTCTTTTATGATGCAAAAAAATCGTAATTTTTCTTTTTGTTGAACATTTTTTAATATTTTTTGTTTTAGAACTGTGCGTTCATAAAAAATACTACTCATAAATTCGCCAGATATTGTTTTCCTCGGTGTTTATCTGTTTTTCTTTTTGCAAATGTTTGTATTTGTTGCGCACTAAGGAAAGGGGGAGAAGGGGAGGCGTGAGGCCTCAGTCAGGGAGAAGTGCCTTTTGTCTCTTCTTCCCTACCGCTTCATACCGCACTCTACACTATCAACGCCACTGGACCGAGCGCATGGCTTTATCAAGCGTCTCAGTGGCACGAGAGCATGTGTGCAAACGAGTTTCCGGAACAGAGCATGTGCCGGCACCGAGAGCTTTGAGAGCGTTGTACACTATGCTATATATATCAAGCAGTATAACTTTTTGCTGTTCAAACTTCCATACAACAAATCTATTTACTCGTGCCTCCTAGAGTCGCCGTCCGTGTCCCATCGCCGCTTTGCTGCGCCAACCTTCCTACAAAATCCACAGCAATTTCGGCGACTTCCGCGAAATCGAAGGCACCTGACGGCTAGAATATAGAAAGCGGTCACAGCACGTTGGCTCGTCATGCTTTCTCGAGCGAAGCATATACTTTCGCAGCACCTGGCGGTCTAAGAACGAAGCCCTGAGAGCGGTGGGTTCAAAAACACGACATGAAAATCACCTATAGGAAGTATTCATTGGCGGCCATAGCTGTGTGCGCGACTGCTGAGCGCGTGCTGATGGCGAGCTTCCACGCTTCTTTTGCAACGTGCATTCCGCACCCTCAAGACTGCCGGTCTTAGCAGCCTATTGATGTGAGCTCGTTCTGAGCATGCGCTCTAGACAGCACCCACAAATATGGCGCCCAGTGAATACTCCTTACAGACTGAGCGAAGTCTCCTCTGAACAGGCAACCTATGCCAACCACGCCTGCGTCCGAGACCTTATACATCTCCAGAGAGATCCCAGCAACCCGCGCCCCACGGAGGTCCTTCCACTCCACCGAGACTATATCGACTCGTCTCTGATGGCTTCCCGGCAGATGCGAGGAGGACTTACTCCCGTCCCGCCGTCTTCTTTCGCTCCTAGCACTAATTCGTCTCAATTTATCGCCTTTGCGCGCCACGCATTGCGCTGCCTGACGTGCGCCGGCCCGCGGCCCTTTTCCGTGACGGTCGATGCGTCTTTTCTCGCTGGCGCTCCCCGACTGCCGCCTTGCCCAATTAACATTGAAGACGTCTTACTCGCAGTCCCATGTCCGACAAGACAGCGAGGAAGCTTACGAATCTATGTTTGTGCCGAGGCAGTGGCGGCCGCTCAAGAGAATAACGTCCACAGCTTCATTTGTATTCGACTCCGGCCTGCGTTCTCCGCGCGTTCTTTGCTATAGGTGCACCCCAACACAGTCGTCCGCTTCTCGCAGAGTATTTATCTCTCGTCATGTCTTCTTCTAAATAAGTTAATTGGGACGGAAGTTGGCGTACTTTGGTGCGTACCATACGCCGTTTTAGAAGTAAACCATTGATAGCTTGTGCGTTTAGTAGATATAGATCCCGGCACATCATATAAGGTCGGTGGTAACTCCAGCGAAAAGTTATTCACGTAACTAGTCGATAATAAAGAAAGAAAAATAAAATGATGTATCATCTGCACTCAAAAAAAAAAAGACATGGCAGCGATCTTTGTCACCTTTATTTTTAAATTCCCATAACGCCTGAAACGCAGTATTTAAAAAGCGATTGTTTAAATTTGTTCAGAAGATATTAATGAGTCGTTTCATGGGATGAAGAATGTGTATTTTTATGAACTTACGAGATAAGTTTCGCAAGAAACTCACTTGGTGCATAACTCACATGACTTCAATTTACCTCTAACATTCAAGAAGGGAAACATTGGTGTAGGGGTCACGTGTGACACCGATTTTCTGACTAGATTTAAAGCGTGGAGACTGAATTGGTGCATAGATCTCGTGACGTCATGTCCCAAGAGGGACGATGACCAAGCGAAGCGTCACTATCATTGTCCCTGCGCCACATCGCTCTTTTATAGTCATACTCCCAG